TTGTGGTAATCTGTGGTCAATGACATGAGACAAAGTATATGTGAACTGCTGTATGGAAAGTGAATTTGCTCTGTAAATCTTCACCCAAATCACAAAGAAAAAAAAATTTCAGAACAGAAAATGAATATATTGAAATAACAATTTAGTTTTAGAATAAGACATCTTTATTCATTTAATATAGAAATTTGATTTGTTAATATATTTGCTAAAAACTGTGTATTTAAACTTTAACGTCTTTATTTCAGGTGGTATGTTTTTAGCCACAGGTAGTACTGATCATGTAATCAGGATGTATTTTTTGGGTTTTGAAGCACCTGAAAAAATTGCAGAACTTGAAAGCCATACTGTAAGTATGTTTTAAAATTCAATTGATTTTATTCCTGTTGGTACATAGTCAGATACTACTATGGGGGATTGTTACTCGTTCTGAGTTTAACTTATGCATAGATGTAATTGCATTTAAAGAGGAGGGATATCATTTTGGAAACTCGGAGAGGATCTTGAGAGTCCAATTTTTTGTAATAGTTATTTTAGCTTTAAGCCAAAAGTCTTGATTCTGCCCATTAATCTGGGTGAGTTAAGGTCAGGTGAGCTTACTCATCTTACCCAAGCTCATGAATTGCAGTGCTGTTTTATAATGTATATTAAGGTTTAGAGCTATCAGTACTTTGTAATGGTAGAGTCTGGTTATCTTTGCTCCCATAGGAAGTTTTGTGTGGAAAACTAGTCAACCTTCAGAGGTTATTTGATAAATGTAGATTCAAATCACTTTTGAAAAAAGGAAGCCATGAAAGTGCCTTTTATCTTCTTGAACTGTATGTTCTGATCACTTTCCACACATCAATACTTTTTATATAGATGTAATCAATTACAAGTACAATGTTAATTTTAGCAGCAGAGTTTTTTCTAGATACATCTGTCTTCTAGACAAGAGCTATCTTTTAGTGGTCTTGTTAGGCTTATAGTTAAGTCTTTGCATTTAAAAAAGTACAGAACAATTACCTGTTTGAATGATGGGGCTAAGTAGCACAAGTCCAAATCTCTTGTTAAAATAAATGCTTCTTTTTGTTTTTTTTTATTGTGATTTGGGTGAAGATTTACAGAGCAAATTCACTTTCCATATGGCAGTTTACATATACTTTGTCTCATGTCATTGACTACAGATTACCACAATGCAACAGCTCCCCTCCCACTTCCTCCCCATAGTTACCTCTTCTCATTGTCCATCCCTCCATATACTCCTGCCCCTTGAGCTGTTTCTCTGTGCATAAGCTGCCCTTCTTTCTCCCATGATTGTTCTCTCCAAGGAGTGTATCTACTTGAGGTAAATGTTTAACTCATATGCCTATCTTTTGTTTGGCTGGAAACCACAGGTGTGGGTTCAATTCCAGACCTGAAGGGCAGCTAGGGGGCATAGTCTCAGCAGTTCCACCAGGCTCTATCAGACCAGCAAACCTGGTCCCCCCTCCCTTTTTTTTTTTTCTTGTCCTCCAAATGATTTGGAGTTTTGTTCCACATTGTTCTCCCTCTATATCAAAGATCTCCTAGATAGATCCCCTTCCACGTGGATGACAGTGGTATCCGGGCACCATCTAGTTCTGGTCTCATAGTCGTATAGGCTGCAGATAGAATAGGATGGTGTACCAGTCGCTAGGACTAATTGTTTCCATGAATTTTGGTTATCTTCATTCTTCTTTTCTCTGGACGAGGACAGACCGATCATTGCATCTAGATGGCAGCTTGCTAGCTTTTAAGATCCCAGTCGCTACTCGCCAAAGTAGGAGGTGGAACAATGTTTTGTATAGTAT